CATGGGTTTCCTGTAAATGCCTGGCTTTCAGTTGGGAATGCATTTATCTGGCAGCCTTTCAGTGCACAGAGGAAAGTGCAATAGCCTGAAGACAAGAATGAAGACAACCCAACCTCTTCTGGTTGGTGGAGTTTTTTTCTTTTTTTTTTTTTTTGATGTAATTCTCCATTGTTGGAAAAAATAGGTGCCAGAGCCCTGAAGAGTTGTGTCCCTGATTTTCATCTAACCTCGCTTGCTGTTCTCTGGAAGTCAGGGCCATTTAAAAATTTTACAATGAATTTTTAAATCTGGAAAGTTAGAACATTAAAGCACATTGAGCCAGTGGGTTTTAATTGATCTCATACTCAGAAACGCAGCTTTTGCAGCAGCTTGCAAGTACGAATGTCAGCTCCGAGCGTGGTGATTGCTGCCATAACCAGGCTCATTAACTGCAGCAGAATTACTTGTGATAATACCCACTCCTCGCCCATAGGAAGATTTTGCCACACACAGCGCTGAATTTAGTGTGGAGTGAGGAAATACAGCTTGGCTGATGGAACTTTAAGGGAAAGGTTACACTTTTGTGTGTAAGTATCTCATTTTGCTGTTCACACCACTGGTCTTTGATCAAATTAACATTTTACTGTAAGGAGAAGAGCACTCGGTTCATGCTGTTCATTATCTTGTCAGGAAACACGGGGAATAATTTAAACTGGATATATTGTGTAAGGCTTTTTTTCTTTCCCTTTTTTTTTTTTAATTGGAAAGCCCACGGCAGCGTTGCGATCGTGACCTCCCGGCTCCACTGCGAGCAGTACGATATTTACCTGCTGTATGAGGCAGAATGAAAGTATTTTGAAATATTTTCTTACCAGGCAGGTCGTTCTGTGCTAGAAAAACAGTGATATAGGAATTAGGAAGAATTGTGTGACTGAACTATCCAGAAAAATAGGGGTTTTAGTCATCAGTAGATCTGCATGATCTTCATCAAAGCCCACCTGAGTGACTGTCACTGGTCACTGAGGGTTTTCTTGACTGTGCGTAGGATTTAGAAGTAAGAAACCAGTAGTTTTAGCACTGATGAATGAAAAGCAACTGTGCTGTGGCATACCCATTACCTCAAGGAGCTCCAAGAGAGCTGGAGAGGGACTTCAGACAAGGGATGGAGGGACAGGACAAGGAGCTTCCCTCTGCCAGAGGGCAGGGTTGGATGGGATATTGGGAAGAAATTCCTCCCTGTGAGGGTGGGGAGGCCCTGGCACAGGTTGCCCAGAGATGATGTGGCTGCCTCATCCCTGGAAGTGTCCAAGGCCACGTTGGGGCTTGGAGCAACCTGGGCTAGTGGAAGGTTTCCCTGCTTATGGCAGGGGGGTGGAACAAAATGGTCTTTAAAGGCCCTTCCAACCCAAACCATTCTGTGAATCTGTAGCTATTTCTTAGCCGAAGTGGCACAGTTTCTTGCAAACAGAAGGTTATGTGAACTTTCCAGTGGCTCCAAGTTGTGCAAGATTCTTTGGGTTTATCCATTTTCCATACTGGGCGCCTGTCTCTGGCTGTGCTCTCTTTCTTCATTTCAGGAAAAATTGTCCAACCATTTCTAAGAACAAGATTAGGGGAAAAAAAAAAGAAATTCCCCACATGTTATGAGTTTTTCTTGCTGTTTTGGTGAGGAGCCTGCTGTGCCCAGATTTAATAGAAGGGGCTTGGCGCTTGATAGAGAGGGTTTGCTTTTTTCTCAGGGTTGTATCTTCTGTTGCTTCAAGTAGAAAAATAAAAAAAAGAAGTTAAAACAACAACAAAAAAAGAAGCCCCAAGTTTGGCCAGCCTGTTAGAGTCTGGAAAAAAAGAGTTCACACAAACTCAACAGAATCTGGTTTGAATTTGTCGGCTTTGCTGTCGGTGCCTGTCCCAGGCACTCTGCAGTCTGTCACTGGGTGAACATTAACCAACCAGGTTTGCCTTCTCCTGGATGTGATGTAAGGTTCTGTGCCTCTCTGGCACAGGGGGAGCATGGGGAGGGCAGACGCTCCCCCAGCCTGCTCCGGCAACGACAGGATACGGGACACGGTGCAGGAGCAGGAAGGGGAGAGGGGTTCGTGGTGGGGAGGAGGATTGGGACACTTGGAGGACATTTTGTGACGACTTTCGGAGAAGAAGGAAGGAGGAAAAGAGGAAGGAGCTCGTGGGGGTAAGGCTAATTCCGGAGGTTTGTGTGGTTAAGTTGTGCGAGGTGTGAGCTGGCTTTTGCCTGCCTGGAGCTAAAGGCACTGTGAAGCTCAGAGAAGATTAAAACAGTGCTTCCAGCAGCCAAAATTAGGAAGGGGACAGAGTGAGGAGTGGGAGTCAAGGAGGCAATTCCAGAGGGTTTAACAGGGGAGCGGCACCACAGGCGCTGTGTGGGGTCTTGGTGCAGGTGAGGAACGGGCAGAGGCAGCTCGTGCCACACTGTGGTCGATGCTGCCATGCAGAGAGATGTGCCAGGGCTTGAGGAACCCAAATAGCTCCAAATGGGGGTTGTGCCAGTGCATTCATTAGCGTTTCTGAAGGCACTTAGATCCTCTGGTGGTGGAGCACAGCCTGTGAGGAAGTGATCAATCCTGTCGGCAGAAGAGGGTGGGAGTAGCTTGCAGTAGATAAAGTTGCAGGGGTCACACACGGAACAAGGAGGACAAAGCAAAAGATCCATTCACCGAGCAATATTCATCCCAGAGCTGGATGGAGTAGAGACTCACTGGAGAAAAGCAACAGCAGGTCCTGTGTGCTGCCATCCCACCTCTCAAAACCCTGCACTCGGGGTTGGCTTTTCCAAACTTGTAAGTGCTCAAATTTGAAACTGCTGTTCTTTTAATAGGTTCTTGTGTGTCATGTATAATTTATATTGCAGCAGCACCCAAAAGTGCTTTCCAGACGCTGAACACATCTGTAATTCTGGCTCTAAAAAGCTTCCATTCTGGAGGGGGGTGAAGAGGAAAATTGACGAGTATTTCCCAAATAGAATTGCCCGAAGTTTGTGCCGATGTATTTTTAACAATGCCTAGTCTGAAACCTTGTCAGATATTATTCCAAGGATCACAACAGGTGTTGTGAATTGGCTGGGGAGGCTGTGCAGAAAGGGCAGCTGACAGCTCACTGTATATGCAGATGTACCACCTATTAGCAATATCCTCTGTGGTTTGCTCGCATGCGAGCTGAATAGATTCTCCAAACAATGCTGCAGTGAATGGAAGCCATCAGCAGAATTGCTCAAGGCTGCAAAACCCATTACTTATACAGCAGTAGATGCAAGAGCAAGTGCCACAGTGTAGTAACTTGTCCTGCTTTGCTGGAGTTGTTTCGCTGTTATTAGATCAATATATGTAGCTCCACATCTGATAAAGTACAGGGAAATAATTTATCTCAGTGCGTATCCTTAGCTCAGTATTTATCCTCATATTTCTCTTTTTGTGCCTTTTTAGTGCTGTTACCATTTTTCCCAAGCACACAATAGGTTGTGTGCCCTGCTCTGATTATTAGAGCCACGACACTGTACTTTTTACAATCACGTTTTAATTACAGCTGTAGAACCTGTGCAAAATCATTTAATACAATGTTGTGAGCAAATAGCGCAGATGATGCGTTTAGTATTTGATTGCTGTTAGTTTACTCATTGATTAAACATGCAGAGGCTCTGACTGGTGAGAAAGTCAGAGACCACACACACACAGGGGTATAGGGTTTATATTTGCTATAGATTTATATTTGCTATAGATTTTATATTCACTATAGCTTTTATATTTTCACTATATGTTTACATTCCCTGTAGATTTTATATTTGCTATATGTTTTATGTTTGCTTATATGGCTTAGGTTTTCCAAAGGAGTAGCAAAGGGTCTGGCAGACGAAATGTGGCACTTTCAGTGGCTTAAAAATGGCAGTGGGAATTTATCTTTCTGTAAAGGAAGGGACCCATCAGTGTGAAGGGTAAAAGCTGATCAGGAAAAGTTTTGACCTTCCCTGGTGGCAGCTCGTGAGTTTGGAAGAGCTGGTGATGGGTCTTGCAAGTGGAGACAGAAAATTATTTTGGCTATTTTTTGCTAAAATCACACCATGGTTTGCATGGAGTAGCCCAGGTGAAAAGCAGTGATTGCTGAAGGAGGCAGGCAGTGTGGGTTTGTAACAATAAAATACATTTTTTTAAACAAAGAGAGAAGACAGTCTGGCCAGGAGGAGGATAGACTGTAAAACAACCAGGTTTTGTTCCACTTCTAACAGAAGCTTGCAGACAGTTATGGAAAGGACTTTGCTGCTATTTATTGCCTGAAGTTACTGATCCATCTGTCTCTACCCAAACTCTTGTACAGACAATATTTCCTCATAATTCTGCCTTTCTTCTCTCTATTATTATTCAATATTTAGATGGGAATTTTGACCAGTAGCCAAGTCACAGGTTTATCAGCTATTGCGTAAATCCTCAGCAGTTGGTAACTGACCTGTGCAAAATTGTCACTTTAGGGTTAAATATTGTAGAATAAATAGACCTGCTGAAAGAACAGAATCTAACAGTTCGTGTTTGGGGGAATAATTACTGCAGAAAGACAGCCCACAACATTGTATGTGTGTTTGAGAGAGTGGTCAGAATATCTTTTAATTCAGCATTTACCCGTGAGAATTATTCCCATGAGGAACCTTGCAATAAAATCTGCTTGGTCTATGAGAATAGAAAGAAATTGAATAAAAAGACTCCATTTCCACTTGTATTTATTCAGTCTGGGAAATTCAGTGGGCCGCAGCATTAGTATCAGCAGGGGATTCCTTGCTCCTAGCGTTAAATTACTGTCATAATCGCTCAATTATTTCTTCCTTGTACTGTTTAAAATAAAAATCCATCACATTCTATGTTTTTTTCTAACATTTATTAGGTTGAGTGTTTAGGAAAATCAATTATATTCAGTCAGGCATGAATTGATGAATGTTCTTGTAATAATTGTCAGTTGTTAAACTGAATGTACTTTCTCTTTTCACCCCTTTTCATTTCCTTCAGAGGGCAGAGGTGGCTCAGAGAGAGGCAGAGACCTTAAGGGAGCAGCTCTCATCAGCTAACAAATCTCTCCAACTTGCTACGCAGATCCAGAAGGCACCTGATGTGGTGAGAGAAAATATTTACTGACTCTTACAGGTTTCTGACATTCCTGCAGTAGAGCTCTTTCAATTTATGCTCCCAGCTATAAAAGCAGCTGTTTGGGGGTCGTATTTTAACTGAAATGGAAGGGTGTTCCTTTGGGATTGTGGGTGGGTTCAACTTTTGAAGAGGTTGGTGGCTGGAGAAGGCCCCGGGAAGGACGGAGGTCACTTGGCTCCGTGGTGATCCATCGCTCTCCGGGGCTGCAGGTCCAGGTGGATAGCAGGGACTCTCAGAAATTATTTCACATTGCTAAGAGCATCAGCAGAGGAAAAACAGAGGCAGCAAACCTGGAGGACCAGTGGAGGGTGTGGAGCTTCAGCCCAGAGGGACCACCTTTGCCCAGAGCTCCCTCTCGTTACTCTCCGTGTCTGGGCTGACAGAGAAACTGGAAATAAATGTGAACTCACTCCAGTTTTCACTGACTACATCTAAACCTGAGAATTACACCTATAAACCCAGTGAAAGCAGCTTTGAAAATTGAGAAGGTATCCTGCACTCCTGCTGGTTGCCTCCTCTGTGTGGTTCTAAATAAAGGCAGTGCTGCTGTTTGGGGAGGTTGGCAGTGCTGACTCTGCTGATGGGACCTGCGGGCACACAGAGCTGTTACAGAACTCCAGCTGGTCCTGGGTGAACAGGTATCACAGATGAGCAGCCAGATTAGTTTGATTTTTGTTTGCCAAAGGAGAAATAGGAGTATGTAAATGTAAATATGCAATTAAGTGAAATTTAGTCTACTTCTAAGCAGCAGATTTAACAAACAAAAGAAATCATGGCTTTTTTTTTTCCTTGCAAGCCATATATGGACCTGACACTGATAGCAGAGAAACACATGGTTGTCTTTAAAAATCATTTGCAGAAAATGAGTAACAAACCATAAGTCCTCCAGATCTGTCTTGTTGTCTATTAATACAACCCAGCATTTCCTCAGAGAAGTCAAAAGATAGACAAGTAGGCTGCAAAACAAAAAATAAAAAGCCTGAATATCACTTGTAACTCTGAATTACCTGCCTCTTCCTATCTCATGTCCTAGTCTTATCATTATTTTAACATTAGGTCTTTCTTGTATTTAATAGTACTTCTGCACTTCATTTATATTTAATATGACAACTACTGCAGGATGAAAATGATCATTATCTATCTTATTTCAGACTCCACGTTCTAGTCTCAATAGGCACAAGCAGCAGATGATTATACAACTTGTGATGTTTCATGCAAGCAAATTAGAGGTTTTTTCAAGTTAAAAGTATAATTCAGTGTAATAGGAGAGTGTTGTTAACTGCTGTTCGTACATGCAGCTTTCTTGGAGTACAGTGGGGTGTAGTCACTGAGAATCAAGATAAATGTTTAGAAGAAATGAGAGGAAAAGGGTATTTTGTTGTTCCTATATTCCCAGAAAAGAGGATATGGAGTCTATTTCAATCTGCTGCAGTGTCATCTTGAATTATCAGGGAAGTGTTTGGGTGACAGCGTCGGTGGGTTGAATTCCCAGCTCTTCCACAGGATCTTTGGTTTAATGCTCACCATCATTGTCTCTCTTGCTAATTGGATTCTCTCCTACTTCACTGGCGTTTCTGAGGAACAGCCACTAACCTCTGTAAGATCCATTTTAGGCTCTTTAATGGAATGTGTGTTGATTGCTGGGCTCGTGCTCCCCACACATGCACAAGGGTTTCCTCACAATCTTCTTGGAAGAGGTTCAGAGCTCTCCGATGCTTACAGCTATCAATCTCTTAGCACAAAAGGAGACAAAGAGATGGTACAATTAGTCTCTGTTATCTTTTCTGAATAAATCTGCCTTCTCCTGAACCTCTCTCTCCTCTCCAGTTTCTTGTCCTACTGGCAGGTCGGTCTAGGGTGGAAGTTTCCAACTTGGGGATGGATTTTGCAACTGTGGGAAACTGGAAGAAGAAAGATTTAGGGAAGAGAATTTCTGAAAAGCTGTCACATCTGTCTTCTTCCCCATGGAGGGATGCTTGCAATAATGTTAACATGAACGATTTTCATGCGAGGAGCAAGTTCATTGGAAGTAGCAGTTTGGGGCAATTTTTGACAATTTTGCCTGAAACGTGCACTGTGCATTCAGAGAGCCACGGGCACATGGCCTGCCGTTCCTGATTAAGAAATTCTGCTCCATTACTTCGGAATATTTTATCTGATTAGTATTTTGTAAGCACAGATTTTCATAGTTGTCAAAGCATTCAGGCTATTAATAATAAATAGATCTAAAGAGAATCCTTTGACTTTCACGGTTGCATCTTTCCAGTGCACTTACGAAATGGGGGAATTTATTCTCTCTGTTATCCCTGTTTTTCCAGGGAGCTGTCCTGGGCAGTGGAAGAGTTCATCTTCCAGTTTCACACAGTCAACCACGGGAGTCCCAAATTTAGGAATTGTCTCTGTTTCTCGTGCCACCTGATGCCATGCTTGGTCCTTGCCAAACTGCCCTGAATTCGAGCTCATTGCCTTTTTTAATTTCTGTGGTCTGCTACTTTGTTCCCGTTAGGAACAGGCCATCGAGGTGCTAACACGGTCCAGCTTGGAAGTAGAACTGGCTGCGAAGGAGCGGGAGATCGCCCAGCTCGTGGAAGATGTCCAGAGACTCCAGGGCAGCCTCACCAAGCTGAGGGAGAACTCCAGCAGCCAAATCTCCCAGCTGGAGCAGCAGCTGACGGCCAAGAACAGCACACTCAAAGTAAGGCTCAGTTCTGTGCTCAGCAGCTTGTGGAGGATGTGACAGATATAATGGAACAGATATAATGAACAGATAAAGTAAGGTGTAACAGATATAATGATATTGGGGTTTACTGGTGTAAATTTGCTGTGGTTCTGCTTCTTCAGGATGCTGCTGAATTCTAGTTTCTGTGGCATTCACAGAATCACACAGTGGTTTGGGTTGGAAGGGACTTTAGAGATCATCTGATTCCAACCCCCTGCCATGAGCAGGGATGTTTTGTGTTCTAAGTGATCACAGTTGTTTTAAAAATCTAGATTACCCAGTTCTTATTGTCTTGAAATGTGTTTTTGGAGAACATGGGCTACCTTTAGAATTAAAGCCACCCCCAAACCCCAACATTTATTGATCATAGATATGTCATGAAACAGCTGAACTGAAATGGCACAGAAAATCCTTCTAGGCTTTAAAATTTCTAAGTCTCATTCCAGTGACTGGTAGTGAAAATTGGCCAGAAATGTTTATGGTTTATCTTTGAGTTTACCTGCTACTCCCTTCAGTTCTCTCCACTGGAAAGGGGAAATATATCATTTAGAGCACAGAAACGAGTAAAATCAGGACACAGAGAAGGCTCTTAGCCTTAATAACCATTTCATTATTTTTTAACTCTTTGCTGCACAATAATTCCCACTTATAATTAGTGCTCTGGTGCTGTCCTCACTTGCATACAGCACTGCACTAGAACCAGAAGGAACAGCTAAGATTTTTGTGAGTGACCCTTTTACCTTCTGCTTGGGCAGCTTCACTTTCTTTGTGCTGAGCCCACACAGTTCTGATCTCTTCGTGAGCATGAGAAATGTTTCCTGACATGTCCTATGAATCAGTTTCCTGTAACTCCCGTCCCTTTCATTGTTCCACCATCTCTGAGCTCCAACGTGTAAACAAGATAAATTTATCTGTTCCATTAAAGACTTGGTAGTTTTGCAGGTTTGATAGTCTGAGGGTTTTTGGAGAGCGGGAGGCTGATAGTACCCACTCAGCTCTGACTGTGGCGTGGGCAGCTCTGCTCTATCAGAATGATTTAATGTTCAGTTGAAACTCTTACGAATTGCTCTAATTCTGACATTTTTTTAAGCAGTTACTAGTTCTGCTGTGGTGGAGCATAATTTACATGGAGAGATGTCTGTTAGGAATGGAAGCTAAAGTGTTGCAGTCAGTGCTTTCTGCGTGCTTTAAGGCAGCTTTGCAGAATTTTTATGAAAATTCAGTGGAGCAAAGGACACTTATTATGCAACTGTATTGACAATATCAGTCCCTGCCCACCTGTCACCGTGTGGGCACCACCTTTATTGAGGGTGAAAAGAGCTGCCCTGGTTTTAAGGGATGCGTTTTGCTGGCTACACCCATGTTAGAGTTTTTTTTTAGTATTTCTTTTCCTTTTTCGTAAAGCCTGATAGAAAATATCTTGAGTCCTTGCACTTGACAGATTTTCCTGGAATAAAGCATGTTCCTGGTGAGGTCAGTATTAGTTTAGCCATTAACTTCAAAGGGAGTAGGATCATAGAAATGACAGAGCAAGTCTTTGATTTCCATTTCAGTAATCTCCTTCCATTTTCTCATAGCCTTGCCCGGCTAATGCTCTGTATTTAGCTCTCTGTTGATAGTGTCTGATGCAGTGCCTCTATTGATAAAGTTTTAGTCATTTCAACCCTCTTTAACCTTATTTGTTGCAACTGTAAATATAGTTCAAAGTACTTACTTTTCCCCTAAAGTGCTGGGAAAGCCTGTGCCGGAGCTGTGTTGTGCAAAGCACCAAATCTCAGTGACAATGCGTCGATCTCATGTTTGATTATGGAGGAATTGCTTCTGAAATACCAGAGATGGTAACAGTTGCCTCCACACACACCAAAAAAAAAACAAAAAACCACGGACTCAGAGTTTCACAAATTAAAGCAATGTTCTCAGCCTGTATCTTGGGGGAATTGTTTAATACTCTATGACTTAATGAAACAATACAGAAATACTTTCAAAATTATTGCTTCTTTATCTTCATCTGATCTAATAATCAAAACATGTCCTCTAGTAACAAGACTTTTCTAGCTCTAATTATATTAACCCTTTGTGGGTGTTAGAACATCCCTGATACCCAGTTTAAAATACAGCAGAAGATACCTCAAATAGCCCGGGCTAATTAAATGTGGGCTTTTTAGTTATCACTCTGAACTAACCTACAGCATTAGTCTAATGCATTTTTTAAGTGTTTTAAGCCCTTAACACAACCCCTGCTATTTACCTATGACACTTAGGTTAAAAAGACAGTAAAGATTATATTTTTTAAATAACATAAGAGAGGATCTGAAATGTGCACGCTCTGACATGGGTTCATTCATAACACAAATGCAAGACGAGTCTTTAACGTGGAATACTTGCAAATTTCACATGCAGAAATGCCACCAGTTCATCCCTTCTGCCCTCTGGCTCCTGCATTTTCCTGTGTTGGAGGTCGTTAGAATATATTTTGTCTGAATTAACCAGGTTGATATTTAGTGCAAGATATTAGTTCCTCCAGATTGTCTCACAGCTTGAACCTTTGTTATCCCGTGTTCTGTGCGTTTTACAGGGTTCTTTGAGACAATTACCATACTAATACATTTTAAAGCAGTCATTGACCGGGAAGATGCCAAGTGCCTAAATGGTCTGCTTATACACAGGCACTGCATCCTCAGTTGTTAGTTTATATTGTTTAGGAAAGTAAACGTTTAGGTGCAGATTTTCCATGGCAACAATGTCTGTATTAGATCCTTGGGAATGATGGATATATGTGTTTTTTATACAGTTCAAAGTAAAATATTTCTGGTTGCCATACTGCTATAGCAGCATGTGACTACCTGAGAGTCCAAAGCAGCTTCATTCTGTCAATATCTATTTTTTTTCTTTATTTTTCTACCTGTGCTTTGTACCTGAATTTTCCAGAAATACCTTATCAGGGTATAGCTTACCCCTGCACAGAATTACATTTAATATAGATTGCATTAAAATGGGAATCATTAGCTTTTCTGTGGTTCATGTCTGCCTCTACAAAAAGCTGTTTTCTTAGCATATCCTTGCATAAGTAACTAACATATTAATCCAGGATACTGTTTGTTTTAAATCTATTCTGGTACTTTTTGTTGCGAGGACTGCTATAAATAACCAGTTATCCCTGCTGTAAAAGCTCATCTGCCGTAGACCCAGAATGTTTTGAGCCACAGAGTTAAGGAAGAGGTGAATTGTGATGTGTCTGTGCCGTGGAGCACTAAAGAGAGTCAGAAGCAGGTGGCAAAGTGACATGACCGAGGAGAGCAGAAGGATGTCATGTGGCGTTTGGCCGCTCCTCCCATTCCCTGCATCCAGTTTGGAAGCTCTCAGTTGTGATGCTGAGTCTCTTCCTAGTACCAAGGACTCCCTGGTTTCATTTGAAGATCCCTCTGCAGCCTGTTCTGGTGCATTAAAAATTCTATTTGGATTCCTTGTTTAACTAACTCTGGCACAGCATTGAGCTATAGCTTGAGCTGCCTGAACTTGTGGCACTTTGTAGCTGGTCCTCCTTAAAAATCAGGGAACTGATGTGGCACCTCAGGCCCTTGGGCTACATAATACATTCCCACAGTAACATTTCAACACATCCTCCAACATCTTTAACATTTGTAGAATTTTCCTGGTCACACCAACCAGGATTTTCCTCATTACATCAAGTATAGGGCCAAAACACCTGTACCACTATGTCTACTCTCTAAAGCAAAGTCAGTGGTAACTCAGGACATGTCAAGAGAAATGACTAAAGCTCATCCTATATATATATTCCAGGTGGAAAAAAAATTTTTTAGCTAAAACAGACATTTTTTTTTTCTTTTTAACACAACGGGAATGACTGCACAAGTCACTGATGGCAGAGGATGCTGGCACACGAGACCTTTTTAAGAGGCCACTCGTTTCATCAATGTCCCATAGAGTGCAAATTCCACACTGAGCAGCAGTTCCTGCATCCCTGTGACGAGCAGTGGTGGTGATCCATTAAGAGCTGCTTGTTGAGCAGCTGCCGGAGCAGGGCCCGTGTATTCCTGCCGGGAGATGCCTCTTGTCAGCAGTGACTAAGGAGGGTGGATTATGGCATCAAACAGCAGGAACAGGAACTGAAGAGGGCTGTGTATTGATAACGTGGATGTCCACTTTGTCACTGCTCTTTAATATCCGTGCTGATGGCAAGGCAGAAATGTCAACAGTGTGTGAGCTGGACGGGGCTGGGTAGGAAATCCTTTAAAAGATGGAATGTCTGGACATCCCGCGAAGCCCCACCACGCTGCTATCGTGTGGAGAACCCTCATTTAAATTGGGTAGGTTGAGATGGGTGATACCCACACAGTGACTTACTGAAGAAGGCAGCAGAGGGAAGAGGTTCCCAGTTCTATTTGCTGGCCTGTCCCAGCCCTGCCTCCACACACCCATAGCTGTGCTGCTGCACAGCTTTGTGGGGCTGCATTTGAAATGGCTTTGCTAAAATTATCCAAGTTCCCAATAGCCCTCCCCTGCCCTCCTGCATTCAAGAAGCAGCCCCAGAGTGGGTGTGGGATCTTGAATTCCCTTCTCCCCTGAAGGCAGCTTCTCCTGGACATAAAGCCCTATTTTTCTTTCTCATGTCATGCACTCCTTTCCTTTTCAAAGTAGACGCTCTGTCTTTGAGGTGATGCATCCTTGTGTTATTTCTGTTTCTCGTGACCTTTGGGATTCTGTGACAATTTTAACACCAAAAATGAAGTGAAGCAGAGCTAGCCTGAACTTATCCATGGAAGTTGCAAGCCAGTAAGTTCTGTTCTTTGCTTAGATCAGGTGTGCCTCCGCTAAGCAAAGAAATTATGAGTGGGAAATTAATGTGGCTTCTGCAAGCAACGTAACGGCATCAATTATGTATCACTATGTTTTAGGCCTCCTGAAGCATTTATCCTGTAGTGATGAGCACTGTTGTTGGGAGCTGGGTAAGGTCCAAGTGTGTGGCATTGCGTTCTGGATTGTGTCAGGGGGTTTTGTTTCAACGTTTGTTGCATCCTCACACCGAAGAGGAGCCACTGAGACCACCCGGGCTCAGGTAGACCTGAGCCAAACGACCTGCTGGGCTGGTCTCAGTGCTCCATCTCCAGTGTGTAATCACATTAGTTACTGCAATAAGTAATGCTTGTAAAATGACCTGGTACAGCTGTTTGGTTTGGGCACAAGGCATTGTAAAAGCCTTACAAGCTTAAGGCGTCCCAGTCAACAACAGCTTCTTCAGTCTGTTCTTTTTATCATGTAGATAAGGTTATCAAGAACTGTCGTATTAAGAACACGGTATGTGCCAAAGCATCCTGCTTGTTTACTCAATTTCCCAGTTTCCTAAAAAATTCCGGCAGCCCATTTTTTTTTTTTTTTGATACCTTCCTCCCCGATCTCTTTATTGAACGCACGACAGTGACATTGCAAACAGCCAAATTGGGACCCACTGAATTCTGTCATGCTTGGCACTCTGTAAACAAAGGATGAGCGAGGTATAATTGTGTTTACGTTTAATTGGTTATAGTTTGTTTTCTAATATATGTAAATTAGGTATGAGTCATTAACCCTCACTTGTGCGCTGCTGTATATATGGAATAATTTGAAGATGATTTTGAAAGCCTGCAGAAAAAAAAAAATCTAAATAATTAAATCCATCTTCTTTCTTTTGAAGCAACTGGAAGAAAAACTGAAAGGACAGGCTGATTATGAAGAGGTTAAGAAAGAATTAAAGTAAGTGTTATATGCTTACATAATTTTTTCGCAAACTCCTAACAGTGCTTGTTAAATGAAGCCACAAATCTGTGTTCTTGGAACAATAAAGAATTCAGTCAAAACCACAATAACGGGGAATTCAGGAATATTGGCAGAAATTGCATCCAGAACCAGTGGAATTGCTGTATCTGAGGGTGCTTCTTGTTGCAGCAGAGGATCTCAATAGCAAAGAATACGCATGTCCATGAAGAAAAGCCACTAAAATTATTGCCCACAAAGGGAAGAAAGTTTGAAAATCTGTGGTATTTTAGGTTGACCACTCTTAAAATCCCCAGCCAACAGCTGAGTGTAATGTGGACCAAAAATTTAGTGCAGAGCCTTTGGCCATGATACCTTTCTCTGCTTCTGGCAGCCAGTGTTCAGCACTTACCAGTTTCGTGCTGGGCTTGTCTCACTGTATATTTTTGCTAGTATATTGTGGTTTTAAACTAAAGCCACAAACAGCCTCTTCCTATTTCAAGGGATTTTCTTAAGAGACTTAAAAGGGCCTCATTTTAAACTATAACAAGATAAGCTGTCAGGTTCAGAAGAGAACTTTTTTGACTGGAGAGATGTTTAGTGTCAAGGTTTAAATAACTGCGAGAAACTCCCATCTCTTCTTTCATCATTCTGGCATTTTTTGTGTGTGCTTTAAGAAGACTGAAATAACCCGTTACCTTGTTTAATGAGGTATTTCAAATGAGGCTGGTAGTCATGTGCTTTTGTTTACACGTCCCTGGAGAATATGGAAAGCAGCTTTGGATTTGCAAGCCCCACGACTGCCCAGCCCCTGGTGCTGATGTATTCAAGCCACGCTGGCTGTGGTTCTGGTTCACAGTGGGTGGATAGTTTCACTTAAATTGAATGAATTGACCATTTCTTTGGTCGTTATTCCTTATTATTAACTGGTCTCAAAAAAGCGTTGTCATTTTAGCAGTGGGGGTAAATATATCCGTGTTCTCTCCTTCAGATTTCATCCAGTTTATGCCTTCATATGTAAAAGAGTGAATGAATGGGAATTAGACCACAGCCTTTCAATTTACTACATGAGATACTAAATGTAAATGTGCTGAGACAGCAAATGAGTTTTGAATCCTACCTGGTTTAGTGCAATGTGGGTGGGATACAACAGGACTGGGGCTTTAAAGCCAGACTTCTGGTGCCAGGAACCCAATGTACACACTAAATACATTTAGGTTTTACTTTGCATTTGTACTTTCAATACAAACCCTGTATTCCTGGCAGTATTGCCTTCTTTTAAAAATTAACTTTATTTTTTACAACACTGACTTACAGGGGGGTTCATACAGTGTTTCTGCTCAGGATGAGCTGCAGTGCAATAGATGGGAGAATCTCCTGGGTGGCCCTGGTTGGGTGCCAGTAAATTAACCCTGTTCTCCCAGCTGTTACAGCTTTTATATCTACTAATCTACCAGATAGCTTGGAGGTGACCTGGGGTCCATACACCGTCCTGCAGGATGGTGCAGGGAGGGGTTAAGTCCCTCTATGAGAGCACTGAGGATGTTTGCAGTGCTGCACCCTCCAAGCAGTTCACTCACACCACCCCCTCTGCTCCCATCTAATCCAGAGGATGTGCTAAAGGCTAAATGTGCATCACCTGGCAGTGACAGTCTGATCTGAAGCGAGGCTGTTGCTGGAAATGACTATGAAAAGTCTTTTGCTGTAAATCAGAATCCCTCACGCTGAATCCTGCCACACCTGCCCTGTGCCCTGAGACACTGACAAAAATGAACTGCTTATAACATCCGCACCACGAAAAGAGATATCTTGTCAGTAAGTCAGAAAAAGAATATATTTCTCAGAGGTTTTTTGACACTGATGTATTTTCCTTAATCCTCCCCAGGATATTACAGGCATTTTAGGCTGAGGGATCTCAATATCAGCCAACATCTAACCTTGGGGGAACTTAACTGGGCCCATGTCAAGATCTGGGATGGGAGGATTCTTCACTTTCTGCCTTGGCTTTTGTGCCCAATGGCTTTTAAACCTATTTTTGAGATCTGAAAGCTCTGTGTGTCCTTTCAGTTCCCTCTGGAGTAACACGACAGCACTGACCCTCCTGCCTTTGCAGTCGGGATCAGACGAACAGAAAGTCGAGCTGTCCCAATGCACACTTTGCTTTGCACTGAGATCTTTCAAGTCAGCTTAGATGTGCAGATTCAAGTCACAAGATCATTCCTTTAAAAAGCAGGTAACTGATCTTGAGCCACAGATTGAGTCGAGATCTCATGGGCAAAGATATTCCTGGAGTCCAAAGAGGACACATTTTGCTTCCTCGTATTCCTGAGGAAAACGTTTCTTTTGTGACACATTTGAAGAGTCATTTTTGACATGTTTAACTTTCATATTTTTTGAAAAAATTAATCTGATGGAGTGAATGATCCTCTTAGGACAATTGGAGGTGCCATCAGCTTGATTTTTAGTTTATTTTGGGTTTTAAGTGTATAGGAAATTACTGGTTCTGGAGGCAGTGTGGTCAGGGCACTCACACCTGCTCCTTGGGGAGCGAGCAGCTTCTTCTGGTTTAGCCTCATCCAGGAGGAAGGTGGTTGGGATGCTGCTGGACTGCTCCACATGGCAAACCAAGTGTGGTAAGTGGGGGTCACTGGGAGACCCGTGTCACAAGTGCTGCTGGTCTGGACTGAAATGGGGGAAGCACCTGGGGACTGCCTTGGGAAGTTTGCCACGTGATAATATGCAGTTACAAATTGGGATTCTTTTAAATTCAGATGAGTGTCCTCATTTGAGCGTCATGAGGATGTGCATTATGACTTGCTGTCCTTGCAGAGCCCGTTCCCTGCAGAATCCCTGGGAGGATGGAAACAGTGACCTGCCAGTGACTGGGGTTTTCCCTGTGTGACTCTCTGGGCATTTATCTCCCTCAGCACCTTGGGAGTCCTGGGAGACAGAGCTGTGCCCCTGAAGGGGTGTCCTAATAAACACTGGCTTTCAGCAGTGATTTGCTACCTGAATAAACACATCAGTGTTGTCAATATAATGTCAGGATCTCTAAGAACTCAAGCCATCAGTGCACAACCCCTCTCTTTGACTGGCACAAGTCCATTGATAGCAGAAAAAAAACCCTTTTGCACGTGGGTGAGCTGTTGTGCCCTCATAGAGTCTTAACAACATTGCTTTATGTGCCATGTACAGGATGAGGGCCCTACCCCACAGCCATTTCTGCTGGCAAGAGGTGTCATCCAGTGCTGCCCATGTAATGAAAGTGATTGCCAGAAGTTTGAGATTCTGTTAATCATCGTATTTTAGGAATACCTGTCAGCATTAACACCGTGTACGCACATTAACACTGAGTATGCACAGATGCAAAATGCATCAGGTTTCTGTCTCAGAATGACCTTTTTGCCTTGGATTTGCTATGACTTTGAGTCACCTTGAATGACTCAGAGACCGCTGATTTCCAGAGCGTCACTTAATGCACATCTGACTCTGGATTCATGCAGGGACAGGTTCATAGAGGAGCTGGACACCACGTGGTCTGAGGCAGTTAATGGGTGCCTGGTGGACTTCTCGTGGTATCCAGAACAAGTCCCCGTGTCTTAATGCTCCCCCTTTGCCTTTTTTTGATGCAGTTTCCACATTTTATAGAACCACACAATGGTTTGGGTTGGGATGGACCTTAAAGCCCATCCTGTTCCACCCCTGCCAGGGGCAGGGACACCTTGAACTAGACCAGGTTGCCCCAAACCCTATCCAACCTGGCCTTGAACAGTGCCAGGGCTGGGTCATCCACAACTTTCAGTACATGATCCACAACTTTTAATACAGCTTAATACATGAATAAACAGATTCTCATTGCCTCACAAAGTTCCTGGTGCTTTATACATGAAAAATGCTATATAAACACTATCTGTATCTGTTTATGCATTTCTCTTCACCAAATGAATGTTGTCTTTGTACAATAAGAAGCTGAAATCATTTATTGCTTCAGTCTGAGGAAGTTCATGTCCTGCCTGCAGCAGGCTGATTTAAAAAAATTTATATGACAAAGCACAGTAATAAGTTTGGATTCCTGTAAGATTCTGGTTTGCCAGATGAGACAACTCTAACTGAAAGCCTTTGAAGGGAGACGTCCTTTGACCGCTCAGTATTTATATAAAATATTGACAATGAGACTATCAGATTCTTCTCTTAATGTACTTATAAATATTTGGATCTTTCACATTTCTTAAGAAATATTGTGCCATTTTGTCTTCCTTTTGCCATAGAACGAGGAGGTTATTAAAATGAAAAACTGCCTTTTACCCTGTAGTGTCTTGGTGGGGAAGATTATTTGTGCATATTTTCCTTGCTGGTGAACTGGTGTATATTATATAAAGTGCTGTACTGTGGTGGTGATTCCCCTGTTTTGTTGCTTTGCTACGACTTCTTCGTTCCCTTCCAGCTTCACAGATAAATTTATATCACTTCTGACAGCTTAAAATGTTATATCCTTATTAACCTTTAAATTTACGATTTAAACTGGCCTTGTGGGATTGCATATGGAATGATTTAGATGACGCTTGAGAAAATTTTCTTATCCAAGAACTAGTTTGAATAGTTATTCTATATTCATTATGAGATTGTGTTACTGCAAGGAAAGTTGTTACCACTTGTAGTGTTGCTGGAGAACAGGAAACGATAATGTTAATGCTCATTAGTGGAGTTGTTATGGAAAGGAGAAATAGGAAATAATTTTTATTTTCTGCCTTCCACAGTATATTGAAATCCATGGAGTTTGCACCATCTGAAAGCTCTGGTGGGCAGGTACTGCACCTACTTCTGTTGTCTTACTTACTTCAGCAATTCAGTTAATTAACAAAGATTGTGTCTTGCAATTCCTTGGCGTTGGCATCGGCAGTTTCCTGTTGATGTTGAGACATATGGGTCGATCATTGTTTTTCCTGATGTTTTCTTATGTAAAAAGCTGAACTGAACATTTTTTGCCTGTTAATTTCTTTTAAGTGGACAAGGACAAAGTGATGTTTCAGCTGTGCTGGACTGAATAACCAAAATGTTGTGAAGTTGAGTCATTTAAAGATACTAGAAGTGGTTACAGGCAGTACGCTGAGCAAGGACTTCAGCATTTTTAAGTATTTATTAGCCTTGAAAATAATGTTCACAAAAGAAAACAAACCTTTGAGTACTGAGAAAGCTCTGATATTCCAGAAAATTAATCTTAAATTAAGTGTAAAGGTTATGAATTAAAGTCCTGCTTCTGAAATCTGAACTGAATATCGATATCCTTGGAATTATTTTCCATGAGTTTTTTTGATGATCAAGGGTTAGATATTGGGGGGAAGGTAAATAGCAGGTTTCTGTGGCTGATTCTATTTTTGAACCAACTGTTTCTGCTGAAATGCAGCATGTGAAGGAAATGCTTAACTTGGGTCAGTTGACCTAGAAGGAGTAATATAATCTTAACTCCTGTTTTAATCAGATTAAAAGAAGTCTACAGCTTTTAAACTGAAAGTGTGCCAGAACCATTTAAAAATAAGTAGGATTAAGAAAATGTTCCGTTACACATCTCAAAATAATGCAGAATTGATGAATGATTTACAGTGGAAATTAAACAGTGAACCTCTTCCACGGCTCATGTCGGAGCCCGGAGTGGTTCCCGCAAATCCACACACGGTGAACTCCCTCCCTGCGTCTGGAGAGGAGTCCAGCACTTGTGGTTTTTTTATTCCATTTCATTTCTGAAATCCTTTTCAGTGCCTGAGTGAGCCTCTCAGTGCTCTTAGAAACAAACCTCCCACTCTGGTTCCCTTTAGGATGCTTCCAAACCGCTGGAGGTGCTGCTGCTGGAGAAGAACCGCTCGCTGCAGTCGGAGAACGCCACGCTGCGCATCACCAACAGCGACCTGAGCGGTAGGTTGACACGATTTTTGGCTGTTCTGGTTCACTTGCTGTCTCGTGACGGGTGGGAGGGCTGAGTGAGAGCTGAGTGTCTGAGCTAATGCATGGCAGAAGGATTAAGAAGCAACAGGAACACTGAATAGCGCTGGATTTCTTGTAGTTTTATAGGCTGGATAATAAAGTAAAACTTGGAGAGCTCAGAGTCTATAAAGGTTGAGGAAGAGGCATTACAGGCTGTACCCAGAGGTAGTGTTTGAGGCTGTTGTCTGTTTTGGGAACAAATCCGTGGCACCAGAAGTCTCTTCCCCTCCCTCCCCCCCAGTGTTATGCCCAGTGTTTGCATGTAGAACATAACCTTCCTGTCTGATACACTTGGACGTGCCACCAGCAGGTCAGCTTGGGAAAACAAAATCCTTTCTTTTTGGCGAAGTGTGTTTGCCGTTCCGCTTTCCTAATGTGGGCTTTTACATCTTGTGTGCACATTTTTTAAATGGCAAGTCATGGAATTTCCAGATACTCGAATGCTTATGGTTTTTGCAGCTGGAAGAAAGTTAAAAGTTGCCACTGGCCCTGGGATTACTGAATTCTGAAGTGTTTTATGACTTTTAACTGAGTGATCTTGGTGCATCCACCTAATGGTGATTCCTTTATTCAAATTGGTTTGTTCCAAAATGTAAATGTTTGCTGCATTTGGGTTCAGTCAGGTCCAATGAGTCATGTCTTGAATGAGAGACAACAGAGAGACTTGCTGTCTGTAACTGCATTTATTTAACTGTATAACTGCACTTCATGTAACTGTTCTAGTGTTAATGTCTGTAAGGGGGATTCTCCAGGCTGCAACATACAAGAAAGGTGCAAACATGAAATGCATGTTGTTTGTTTTGGGGGCCTTGTTTGGCTTAAAAAAATTTCAATTATGGAAAAAAAACAAAAACAAACAAAACCAACCACAAAAAACCAAATAAAAACAAACCAAAACTAAACCAAACCAAAACTCCCACCGCCACTTCATTGGCCCGTGTCAATCTGCACTTTTTTTTTTCCCTTTGCGGGGCAAACTTTGCATTTTTTTTTATCTTGGTTTTTCCCTCTTTGACCCCCCATAATGCATTATGTTTGACCTTCCTTGTAGGGTCAGCCAGGAGAAAAGGGAAAGACCAGCCTGAGAGTCAGCGTCCTGCAACCTTGCCGGCCTCCCCTCCTTCCCAGTTGCTCCGCAACGCGGGGGAGCAGGCTTCCAATACTAATGGTACACACCAGTTCTCACCAACGGGTTTAAGTCAAGACTTTTTCAGCTCATCCCTGGCGAGCCCCAGCTTACCCCTGGCCTCCACAGGAAAATTTGCACTAAACTCTCTCCTCCAGCGACAGCTAATGCAGTCCTTCTACTCCAAGGCAATGCAGGAAGCAGGAAGCACAAGCATGATTTTTCCAACAGGTCCATACAGCACAAACTCCATATCTTCCCAAAGTCCATTACAACAAAGCCCGGATGTTAATGGCATGGCCCCGTCTCCCAGCCAGTCAGAAAGTGCTGGGAGCATCTCTGAAGGCGAGGAGATAGACACGGCCGAAATTGCACGTCAGGTGAAAGAGCAGTTGATCAAGCACAATATTGGACAGCGGATATTTGGACATTATGTGTTGGGACTGTCGCAAGGGTCTGTGAGTGAGATCCTGGCCCGGCCAAAGCCATGGAATAAACTGACTGTGAGAGGCAAGGAGCCATTTCATAAGATGAAGCAGTTCCTCTCGGACGAGCAGAACATCTTGGCTCTTCGCAGCATCCAGGGTAGACAAAGAGGTAAGTGCTCTCCTGCCCAGGGTCTCGCCCCGTCCTCCTCTTAGTTCCAAATGTTTCGAATCGGAAGCTTCCCCTCGCGGGGAGGTTCGTGCGTTGCTGCTGTTCTCACCCAAATCAGGTGTCAGGTACAGAAAGTTCAGCTTTGCAGCGCTCAAGCAGGTTAGTATCTCTGCGTATGCTTTTTTTAGATGCTGGCTTGTGCCTGTCAGCAGGAGCAAAGAGCAGGGGCACTCACATCCCTCGCTTCCCAAGAGCTCCGTTGTCAGAGCTAAATACGGAGTGAAAAGGGTCAGCAGCTACTCGGGGTACCAGCCCTCAGAAATACTTGCAAATTTTTATTTGGGGTTGTTTACTGAGACCAGGCTTTTGTTGTGTCTTGTGTGATTATGTTCCTTTTCCCCAAAGTGTTGTGACAAAATAGGGTAGGTGATGCATGAGATGAGTAATTAAAACACAATCCCAGTTTAAAGCAGCTTTGCATATTTAAGGCAGCGATTTTAAGAGGTAACATGCATTTCATTGTGATTCATCTTAAGACTGAGATTTACATTTAGAGAAACTGAAAAGTAAGTTGTTTACAGTCAAGAAATATTGGAAAGGACAGGCAGGGTTTTCCTAGATTTTGTTTAATTGGAAGCACACACTGTTAGATTTATAATCTGTTCTTCCTTTTGATGATTGTACTTGAGGGGATTATCTGCCCATCTTTAACCTCTTCATTTTTGGTATCTCTAGACATTTATTTATATCTGTCTAATCTCCTTTCCGAACATAGCTGTAATCTTTATTAACAAATCAGCCAGCCTTGCTTCTTCCCAAGTAGCCAGTTCCTCCGGCTCAGGCAGGGCCCCGAGGGGCCAGGAGAGCTCAGGGACAGGCTGCCAGCTCCTCATGTCACAGCCCGTGATGTCAGAGCAACCATCCCCTGATTGTTTTGTTCTTACCAAACTTGTTTTTCAACAGAGAATCCAGGCCAGAACCTGAACAGACTATTTCAGGAAGTACCGAAACGAAGAAATGGGTCTGAAGGTACGTCACAGGCAGGTGTTTTTCTTTGCAGTCAATCCCTAGGAAGTGGAGTGTGCTTTAGCTGTGTGTTTTCCTTAAAACTGTGCAGTTTGATTCTGGCCTGGAATCTGATAGAAAAACAGACAGTAAGTATAAAACAAACCATGGGTTAGATGAACACTTTGCTTTTTCTAATTCTGCTGCTGCTGTACTAACGTAACCCTGTTTGGATAGTTTTTCCACTCCCATCCTCCCTGCATATGCAGATAAAAAGAGATAAGTGACAGAAGTGGCTTTATAAAATCACCAGATCTATTGAAATGCTCTCTTTGCTGTTCTTGTGATTTTGGAGGGAGAAAGTTGCACAGTTACACCAACAATCATATACTGCTTCTGCTCTTAAATTACTTCTTTCTTCTCATGGGGCTTATGCTGACAAATTCCACTTTATTACACTGTTAAATTAGTGTGATGCTTGGCTCAGTATTGTATGTGAGAAAGACAAGTGAACATCAGATTGATAAATTATCACTGAACAGGAAGTCTGGACATTTTTCTTTGTTATAGATTAGGTTGCAGAATATTTCTTTTAGTAAGAGGAAGAAGAAGAAAAAACTAAAGCAGCAACCCCAAAACTCGGTAGTTATTTTGACTCCAGTCAGAAATTATCTAGCTCATTTACAAACAGTAATCTCATCATGAAAAATGCAGTCAAGTGCAGTAGCATTTGTGGTTTTCCCTCCTTTTCTTCCTCTTAGAAGTTAAAAAAGAAAGGGAAAAAAAAAAAAAAAAAGCTAAACCAAACACTCAGCTCTTACCTGGAGAGTACTTCAAATGGTATCTGCATTTAAGTGACTCTTTCTCTTCATGTATTAACCTCTAGAAAGTTAAAAATTAGTTTTACCTGGTTACTTTTTAATTCTGTTTGGTGCTGAATGTATACTCATCCTACTTTGCCTAGCAGCTGATGCCATTTTTAAGTTGATTCTTGGGCTTATGTTTTTTAGCTTTCTTCCTTTCCCTTCTTTTCCCTTCTGTTTCCTCTCCCCCTCCAAAAAGAAAAAAAAAAGAAAGGGAAAGAGAATAGATCTATATATGTTGCCATAGAAAAGGAATATATGACCACTAGTTCTTCTTCTGATGTTCTCACCATTCCAGGGCAGCTAGAGACAGGCACAGGGAGAATATTTTATTTTATTATGTTAATACATTTTTGGTGTTGTAAAAACCCTGTGTAAGCTGTCCTCAGGTTGTACTGGCCGTGGTATCAGTATGTCCAGCGTGTCTTTGTGTTACAAAAACAACCAGATAGAAGTTTTCCTGGTGTCATTAGTTCTGTTTTCCTCTCCAGGTAATATAACCACAAGAATCCGAACCACAGAGACTGGCTCAGATGAAGCCATCAAATCCATTCTCGAACAAGCCAAAAGGGAGCTGCAAGTACAGAAAACAGGTACGGCCTCATTTCATCTCTGGCTCCTTCTGCTTCAGAATTTAATTAAAACAATTACCATGAGCTTTTTGGTCAGTTAATTATATCCTTAAAACCTTCAGTGTAGGTTTGAAGAGCTTTTTTGAGGGGTTTTATTATTATTTAGTGGAGTTGTTTCTGTGTCTGAGACATCCCAGGTTAAGGTCATACGTGTCACGGCGTGGTGGGGTCTCTGCTCTGCTCCCCAGGGAGCAACACTGTGGGATTTCTGAGCACTTTTATCCCTGTGCAGAGCTCTGCCTTCTTTGCAGCCCTCCAGGGGAACCTACAGAATCCTTTCCTCTCCCAGTTTGCTCCTGGGAAAGGGAATGGCTCCTACTTTCTCTTTTCTCTCTGACTCAGGCCCCAGGGACAGAACTGCTGGGAGAGGGGACTGATGGATTTGTTGGGGTGAAGGTCACACTGTAGACAGCAATTACCAGTCACACAGCACCACTGTACATCCTGTACCCAGATTATTATATAGGCAAACTCAGTTCTGACTGTTAGATGGCTTTATTTTTGGTTACAGAATGCATTCAGTGAATGAATTGGCAAATCCTTTCCCAAAAAATCCATCGTTAAAACATTTTATCCCAAGTTTAATTTCTCATTGTTTGCTGTCATGTAATTAACATTTCTTCTGTTCCATAGCCCTCCCAGCTTTAAAAGAGTTCCTAGTACTGCTAATGGGCTGAAGTGGAAATTAGTGGGCAATATTTATGTTTTATGTTTTTTAAAGTAAATACTGATTTACAGTTTTGGATATTTGTCTTTTCATTGAAAACTAAGTTAATCTCATGGCAGAATATAAAAGACTAGTTAATATATGACCTAAATATTATGACTTTATACAAGAAATTGTTGCATAGAGAAAAATAAGGGCTATGTGCAGGAAACTGCAAGCATGTTATTCAGTAACATGTTTCATCTGAGAACCTCAGACTTCCTTTCAAATATTAATTCATCCTCAAAACTCCCTATGAAACCAGCAGATAAAACAGAAGAGAGAGTCTCACTGTCTTTTTTTTCCCCCATTTCTTAGCTTTTCATGTATTTTACAGTGCGTGACAGGAAGGAATGTAGGGAGGCAAATTCAGAAATGGATTCAGATGAGGCATAATATTACCAGAGTAATACCCAGCATGTTTCAAATCTTATTTCACTTTGAGGCCACTTGCAGTGGGAGGGTTCCCTGCTCCTACCTAGTGCTTCACTTTCCCTGTTCTCCGTGGAGTAGCTTTCAGAAGAATTGGTTTTCAAGCACTGGGGACTGCGGTGGAGACAGACTTAAATAGAAGCAGATGCCATTGCAAAAACCTCCTGGCTCTGCAGAGATAATTCCCCACCCACGTTCCAGCCTCTGCTCACCCCCGACTGCTACAGCACAGCCACCCAATTCCTGATTCCCCACGGAATACTCCATTTGGGGGTTATCTCTGCTGAAAGCACCCGTGGCTCCATCCCAGAGCTCCGGATAAGGCAGAGGGTGATGACCAGGTGTCAGCCTGGCTTTGGTAGAGCTGTTTATGTCAGTGGCTGAGACCATGGAACAAGAAAACAGGAAGCAGGAGCATATTTAGCTTGTCAAATGAAATGATGATGATCTCTTGCTAAAGTTCTGGCTTTGTTGTAATTTGTGTGTTATGTTTGTGGAGTTTAAAGGACTCACCTTATTTATACTGTAAGAGGGTATTAATAGTCTGTCCAGGTGAATGCAGCTGTGTTCAGTTCTGAGTGTGCGTTAGGTTCATTTGTGGAGAAAGAGAGAAGTGAAAGGTTAAATAACTCTGTAAATACAACCATAAAATGTTATTGACCACTTGGGGGTGGGGGAGGAAGAGGTGAAGGCTTGATTTTCAAAGGCATTTATTTGAAAATTTTTACAATGGTGGAAGTGCAAGTGATCCCAGATTTGTGCAGCTGAGTCTGTGCATGCAAACATCCAGCACTTTGGCAACTATAAAAATTTTCCAGTGAAGGACTTTGGAAATCTTACCTTATTTTGAAAAGTGCGAATCTTTGCTTAGTGAAAACTCCTCCCTCCCATCCAGAAATGTATTTCAGCCCCTTCTTTTTTTTTTTTTTTTCTTGACTGTCAGGGAACTGTTTACAGTAGCACGTGTTGAATTATAAAGCATATTCCTGTGTTGCATTTAGTCTTTTGGTTGTTTTTCATAGCTGAGCCGGCTCAGCCGCCTTCTGCCTCTAGCAGTGGCAATTCTGATGATGCTATTCGATCCATTCTGCAACAAGCCCGACGGGAAATGGAGGCACAGCAGGCTGCCCTTGAACCTGCCTTAAAAACACCACCTTTATCTCAAGCTGACATTTCTATCCTGTCCCCCAAACTAGTGTCTACACCTGCAATGTCTTCGGTTTCCAGCTATTCTCCTTTGGCCATATCCCTGAAGAAACATTCATCTGTCACTGATTCCAGTATCTCTGCATTGCAGAACCTCTCTGGGCTCAAAAAGGAGCCTCAGGAGGCACCTGTTTTAGAGCTTCATGGAATAAGTGATTCCGCCCAGGGTATGTTGAGGCATGTTAAAAATGAGTTGGGACGTGGTGGTGTTTGGAAGGACCATTGGTGGAATACTGTGCAGCATGAGAGAAGAAATGCAGCTCTTCCCGAAGATATAAAAGTTGAGGAAGCCAGTGGTGGAAAAGAAAAGGTCAGCAATCAGACTAGGCCAGATCGTAGCCAGCTCCAAGGACCGTCTTCTTCCGAGTATTGGAAAGAGTGGCCAAACGCGGAATCTCCGTACTCCCAGAGTTCCGAATTGAGCATGACTGGGGCGAGTCGCAGTGAGACACCACAAAATAGCCCCCTCCCTTCATCCCCTATCGTGTCCTTGTCCAAGCCATCCAAACCTTCGGTTCCTCCACTGACACCCGAGCAGTATGAGATTTATATGTACCAGGAGGTGGATACGATAGAGCTAACGCGGCAGGTCAAGGAAAAGCTAGCAAAGAATGGCATCTGCCAAAGGATCTTTGGGGAAAAGGTAAAACAAGTGGTTCTCTCTTGTGTTCTCAATGTACCTGCTGCTCCTTAACGTGTGTGCCGAGCCCCATTTAGCGGAGGGGGATGTGCCACTTGTGTCTTAAGGAAAAATGTTTTTGCTTCGGGTGTTAAATCCTCAAAATGAGCTCACAAAGGAAAGCGTTAGTTTCCCTGTGTTTGGGAATTGCAGGGGTTTTTGTACAGAGGTTGGCTTCAGCCACTTGGAATTAGAAATGGGGCCCTGAGATAGAAACCTTGAAAGCTGAAGCAAACATTATTGAGGCTCAGTATTTCGTGCTTAATGTAATGAACTTGTGGAATACTTGAGCAATACCATTGTCATGACTGGAGAGTCTTAAATTTGGTACAAGTGAAGATTATGGGCACAAGAGCATTTTTCCTTTTTTTTTTTTTTTTTTTATTATTTGGAAATGTGCACGGGGGTATTTAAACAAACACGTGGAAAATCCCCTACCTTTTCTTAGCCTGAAGTCAGGAATTCACATTTCTTACAGCTGGTGCTTGGTATCTCATTGTGCTCTGAGACACTTTTGAGCAATGTTTGATTACAGATACGCGATGCGCGATAAGGCTCCCTGAAGTTCTCACGCTGTGGGCCCTAAGCCTTGAGCACGTGGGATTTTGTGGGTCCCTGACCACCTGAAAACCCCTCCCAGGCTGTAAGAAGTGTTGGATGTTTGCTGTTTCTTCTTCCTACAAAGAATTGAATCAATGTAATAGTATAGTGGGAACTGGCATCGCACTATTACCTTCTCACTAAGATGTAAAATGAAAAGCCTGACCTCTCAGGGTCGTTAAAGATCCCGTGGCAGCTTTCATTAAGTATGATTTTTAACTCCTCTATCTGTGTTGAATTCCAGGCAAGTAATTGCATTCTGCCTGTCTGAAATCCCCCCTCCACTGCAGTCGGCTGCATTCCTAAATATTTACTTACGTGGAGCAGCCGTTGCTACAGGTGAAAACACACATCGTTATAATTCATACCCCAAAAATCAACCAAATATAGGCCTAGTCTCAAAAGTCCCAATTATTTTTGTTTGAGAACAAAATACATGCCAATCATTGCCTGTTTCATCTGCCTGTGTGTGCCTGGACTCGGTGTTTTTCCTGTTAAAACTGATGAAACTATCTGACACGAAATATGAAAAGCATGCAAATCCCGCACCAGCCTGCTGCTGTCCTGATCCTGCAGGAAAAAAAAACCCCATGTTCCAGAAGGAAACACGGCAGGGGAAAAAAAGAAAAAAAAAAAGGCATTTCCATCTGAGTATCTACAGATGTCATTTTGCAGTTTTTCTGATTGTCCACACAAAACCAATTCGAGCGATGCAGTAGAAAGAACCCAAAATGACTTAAATGACCCCCCTTTCCACTTCCAGTGTGTTAACGTGCCGTTCTTGGTTGCTTCACTTCAGGTATTGGGGCTGTCCCAAGGAAGTGTCAGTGACATGCTCTCCAGGCCAAAGCCATGGAGTAAATTGACCCAAAAAGGCCGAGAACCATTTATTCGTATGCAGCTCTGGTTGAATGGTGAGCTGGGACAGTGTGTCCTGCCCGCACAAGGGCAGCAACAAGGACAAGGTAATTAAAATTCCACTATGTTGTTTGAGTTGAGGAGGAGGAAATCTTTTTTTTTTTTTTTCTTTTTTTTCTTTTTCTTTTTTTTTTTTTTTTTTAAATCTGCAGTAAGCCAGCCTTGCACCAGTGCTGGCCCAGGCCTCATGGAAGTGGCAGCATCCACCCTGGCAGCCCAGCCAGTCCCTAAGGGAACGTGCTGGGAATGTTTATGAACGAAGCGCTCGTTTATGCGTAATTGATAAGCAGCAGTTATCAAGTTCCTAATTAGGGTGATATTATCTAGGCATGAATATGAGACGTAATTCCAAAAATTTTGGCCAAAGAGCTGGAAAATGTTGCGTGCTGTTTCTTAGGGCTGCATAGGGGATTTGGATTGCCCCAGGGAGAATATCGATTGCTGTCTCAGGAGGTGAGCTAGAAGAGCCAAGCTCTAAAGGGGGAATGCTGCGTTGCAATTGCCCTTTTATTGTGGCTGTCTCTTACCCTAATTCCCATTGGCACAGAAAAGCCAGGCTGGAGCCTGGCCTCGGTCATACCTTTATATGCCACTGACTTAACTGAGCAGAGAGCCCTTGCCAAGATCAGTTTGCTATTTGTTGAGCCTGCTTACTGTTTAGTTTGTGGTTTGGCATCTCCTTTTATTGTTCCCTGATTTTCCTCTCCTCTCTTATCTAGTCCTTCACTCTGTGACATCATTACAGGATTCCCTACAGCAGGGATGTGCAAGCTCAGGTAATCAGCTGGTTTCAATGATTTGCTCTGAAATAATTCTCTGTGCTTTTGTTACATTTCGTTTGCTTTGATGCCAAGAGGTTTCTCACATTGTGTTGTATCGTACAGGAGTCCCTTCAATTTTTTTATTAATGCAGTTAATTCCTCCTTCTCTCCTTGTTGCTATGGCAGAGGTGGGGAGTACACATATTTAACTGCATATATTAGGTAAAGAGACTCTGTGTGATCTTGGAGATCATTGGCTCAGTAGGGGTGTTTTTTTTGCCATAGTTCAGCTTATCAGTGTGACATGTGACAATGGCTGTAAAACAAGCCCTTGGTTTGTAATGTGATCCACATACTGCAGCTGCCTCACTGGCTGGTAGGTTTTTTTCCACTTTCCTTTCCACAAAATCTGCTTTGTTAATTCCGAGGTGGGGAACACACCACGTTACGGCTTTTTCAAGCTTCGTTAAGTATTCCAAGCTGACCTTTTTTTTTTTTTTTTTTTTCCTCCTTTCCCTTTCCATTTGAAAAAATAAAAATAAAGCAGATGCAGCAAAGCTGAGTGTCAGAGAAGTGAGTGGCTAAAGGTTTTAGAAGATGGCCACGGGACGGGAGGGAGGCTGGAACAGAGCAGAACAGCTGTGTTCCTGCTGTTGGATACCAAACTCTACCCACACAGACTTTTACCAATGATATGCTTCACTGACACAAACCACTCAGGCTGTTTTGTACTCTAGAAAAATACTCGTGCCCTTACAGCCAGTGCCCTGTGTTGGAGAATTGCTGCATTTCAGGATACAGAGAGGGATGATTTGTGCTCTTTTTCCACCTTTCTGCTATTCTGAAACACTCTTTTTTTTTTCTGAAGCTTGCTGGCTTTACTCTTAATATCCCAACCAAACTGCTTTTCCTCTCTACTGGGAAACTATTTTGCATTCTAAAGGATTTTACTGGAAGAAAATCCGTGGTGATATTCAGTCCACGTTTTTCTTAAGAAGAGCAGTTGAAAATAAACAGATAAAAGCAAGAAAAAAAAAATGCCCCCAGTAAAAACAAGCCATGAAAACAAAACCAAAATGGGAGAAAATGATTTGCAATCATAGGGCTATTGTTACTTATTGCCAAGCATTTAGGGAACATGGAAATTTCCTGTGATGGTTCGTTAAAAACATGCCATTGACTACTTTTTTTTGTAGCATCAATACCGTGCAAGAGTAAAGTGTCACAGTTAGAAACGCCTCAGACAGCGTGGAAAATATGAGTAATTAATTGTAGCCATTTTAAGAGGAGTTTGAAATCAGAGGAGCTGGGAAATGCTGCATTGTTATTGCTAATCATCATATTTATGACTAACTCTAATTATAAAAGATTGAAAGACAAGCCCAATAGTATTAAAATCCGACCACCTTGTGGATTCCCGGGAGGATCGCTGGGAGCTGAAAGTGATTTCCTTCAGGAAGTTCAGTTTTGCTGTCGGGATATTTTGTTCCCTCCCACACTCCCAGTCTCGTTTGTCAGTTCCTGCCCTTGAGCTAATATTTTGTGAGGAGGCACGTTCCTATCAGCTCATAAAATCATATTATTGATGATTGTCCTCCCCCCTTCCTTAAAGCCCCCTCACAAATGAGAAAACGAGCTCCTGCCCTTTTCTACCTCCTCTCCAAGGGATTAAAAATAGAATTGTTGTACAAAATGTTCTTTTCTTGGTGCCTTTCTCTGTGTAAAGGAATAAGGAAGGTTGTGACACCCGGCAGAACAAAAGAGCAAAACCAAGTTATTTGAATGAGGACGGGCAGTTTGGTAATTTCCTTTTATTAGCAGCTGTTCTGTAATTAAAAGCGCAGCAAACAGTTTGGAAAAGGTAATAATAATTATGCATTTGTGAAAGATCCACCACTCCAGGGCAGAGGCAAAAAAAAAAAAAAAAAAAAGAGAGACAGCTCCAATTTTCTGGTCTTCTGAGACATTTCCCAGGAAAATCAAGGCAGAAAAGGTTGCATACTTGTAATTTTAAAACAGAAATTAATCAGAACAATTTTGAAACGAGAAAAGGTCTGGAGCCTTTTCCATGTAATATAATTGGCTTGGAACTTGTTGAATGCATGAAGGGAAAGAAGTGAAATTAAACTCATACACTCAGTGGCTCCTGAGTGCTTTGCCAAGAAGGTCTTCAGTGTACAGAGTGTCAACATGCATAGTAACGAAACTTTTATTAGCTGGGAGTATTTTCATTACTGTTTGGCACTACTGTATCAAATTAGCGAGATTTTCTGGATTTCTGACCCAGTCAGTTACACTTCTAGATCATAAGGTTTTGATTTACACCAAATTCATGAAAGTCTTTTCTTTTGTCCAGTAATTTTCCATTTTCACATGTGGGCGGATGGCCCCATCAATGTCTCATATGTGGGGATGAATGAATAAAATATATGTATTTTATATAATTAGAGAGAGAGAGCAAAGAGAATCCAGGCTTGGTTTTCTTCTTTGAAAGCTATATTTATGAATTTTGTGAAAAGCAGCCTATACCAAAATGACAACCAGGTATATACCTGTATTTTCTGCCTGTGACCTTTCTTCAGTGCTTCGGTGATTTTGTGCAAGTTTCAGGGAGCATGATTTACACAAAAATGGTGTTTGTACCCTAGGTGGTCAAAAATAGTATCGCTGTGCCTTTTCTAACATTTTTTCTGTGTATTTCTTTCCACCTAAATGCTCTAATGCCCTTGGGTAAATCTGCCTTTTTAATGATTTATGTGTCAAAAGCACAGACCAAATCACATGGAAAAAAAAGTTGAATTAGTGTCACCCAACTGCATCAGCATTTTTTCATGATGAATTTGGCCCTTATTTAGTTGCATTACTGATGATGGGAGCTGGGGTGGGTTTGGACAGTCGCCATGTGCCAGGAGAAGGCTTGGATATTTCTCTAAATACTTGGACTGTGTATAGCTTTTATTAGTTTGTTTTATTCTGGGGTCTTGTCCTGCGTGTCTGTATGAGGTTTAAGACAGAGTTTCCTTTTTGGTGCCGTTGATTTTCGTGGCTGCTCCCAGGAAAGCTGAATTTTTATTCACTTCTGCCTTTATCCTCTGTGAAGGACATACACTCTCTATATACTGCATTAAAGACTTGCAAATACTCAGTGGGAAAAAGACGTGCCTTTTTGGTATGTGTTTCTGTAAGGGTCGTCTTATGACCTAATGTGGAAGTCTTCATTTGCCGATACAGCTGCGGGTGATCTCAGGGGATTTTGAATTTCCCTTTTGTTTGTCTTCCTTTCTGGGTATCATCCATCATTCCTAACCTCATGCTGCTTAGCAATAGTAACACTCATGGGAGCTGAAGAAAGGATTATAACAGCATAAAATGGGGAGCTAATTAGAGCTTGTTTCAAAATCAGAATCTAGCTCGAGATAATTGCGTATTATCTGGTGATTTAAAAACCCAAGATCTACTCTATTTAGATCAACTAAAATATGCATAAAAGCTTTCTTTTCAAAATACAACATTTGTAACAACAGGCAGATTACTTCTTATCATCCCTTGGGAAAGCAAATCTGAAAAAATTGAGTATGGCTTGCTGTGCTTATGATATTAACAGATAGAGTGGGGAATGATGGCAAACCCAGGTATCCACTGTATTTTTATTTATGTTATATAAATTGCTGGGACATTTTTCAGAACAGAAGCTGCAGAGTGGGCAGGTAGTTCACTGTGTGCTGTGAGGATCTTCCCGTTTTCCTGATGCCAGGAGGAATGTGTCACGTTGGCTGCTCTGGGAGAAACAAAGTGGAGAGAGAGTGTGTTTGGGGCTGGCAGTCCATATTCAGGAATACCATCCTGATGCACTTGTAGGGAAAGTTCACCAGCCACGTAGTGGCAGTGGAGAAGCTCTTACCCCATGTCCCCAGGGTTCAGGGTCATTTCTTTCATTGTACTGGTTTCTTCTGGGCAGGCAGAGCTGTCCAGTGGGGCTTGAGAGCACAGCTGGGATTAGCACGTGGAGAGCTGAATTCTTAGTACCATGTGATCCCCCCAAGTGATCTGACAGATCTTCCCAGATTGGAGCTGGTTTTTGTTGTCGAATCAGAAAGATGAGAGAGATGTTTTTGTGGTCATTTGCTGGCATTCCAGGTTGATAAAAATGTGTGACGTGAAATGTCTGTGGTTAGTGCAGTCTGTGAAATGGAAGAGGAGTGGCATCCCGTGGCTCCAACAGCTGAGTGGCTGGACTGCAGGAATTCCTTGCGTAGATGGTTTGTGTTTGGTGACGAAGTTTTGAGCCTGTGGGTTCAGAAGGTTGTGGCCTTTTGTGCGAGGTGCAGATGCATTTTTGAAGTTCAGAGCTGAACAGCTACGTCAGCCAAACAGTTACCCCCATGCTGTCCCTGCAGCACACTGGTGTGTGCTGGTGAAGTTTCCACATTCCTCCAGTGTGGTTTGGGATTGTGGCTCGGGAACAGTTGGCCTTGGCTGTCTTGATTTCAAACCATAGGATATCACTTGGCTCCTCGTAAGGGCAGCTGTTGTAGTCTGTCTGTGACGTGTGATCATATTCTGTGCCATTTCCCTGACATTTGGACCAGGAGGATCTCCCTGGCAGCCTTTCTGGTATCAATAAAGTCGGGAGAATCGCTGTCAAGGCGCCTTCCTGGGACCTGGGAATGCAGCATGAAGCCAGTGTTTCAGGTTCATTCTGAGCATAATACTGGCTCTGAGTGCTGGTTTTTCCCTCCTGCTGCTGAGGTCTCTCCTCCCCAGGCTGTCTTGCATGGCCTTGGTCCTTTTCCATCACTGATGCTTTGCAAATAGTATTTATGGAGAAATTCCTGTCTTAGTTGCATTCTTCTCTGTCCATTAAACCACCCAGACATTAAACTTGTAGAATATGACTCCATCCTCACTGTGGTCACAGCTTTGCTGTTATAAAAGTGCTAAAGTGAAACACCTAATCAGAGAGTGAACACTGTTTTCTGGGCAGATCATTCCTTGTGGCTGAATTACAATGACAA